TTATGTACATCGATGTCGTGCAGAAGTCTTGTGAATGCTTGCATGAATATTCATAAAGATTGTATTTAATGGTGTGTCGTATTGTCGAGAGGTAATTGGGTCGACCTGGGACCGTCTAGCAGTAATAAGGGTTCCGACGCTAAGAGGACGCCAAAACCTTTAGTGGTAGCAGCGCGAGTGGGGCTTCATTGTACCCCCTGATTCACCGTACCTCACTCCTCTTTTTAGAAGGATACCTTACGGGGTTAGCCTGTAAGATGACCGATATAGGCCCCTACCGGGGGGCGAACGTGTAGACGAGATCGAAATGAACAGCGTTAGTCGTCTGGCCAACATCTAACGCATTTCTTAGTCATTTCAACTTGTCTCTACGTTCCCTTGCATTTAATGCACGTTAGGTTAGTCGGTGATAACGCGCTATGATGTGATTTGTGAACACAAAAATGAAAGCAATTACGAGGACAGTCCGTCAGTTGTCATTTTTTTAAGGGGAGATCAACAAACTCGATGAGCATTGTTTCTGACACTTCTTCCTACTTCGTTTTTTTAAATGTCGTTTTCTTTCCCCTTCTCAAATCCATACCAGCGCGAGGGGTGCAAATGATAGTTCCATGTCGATTCTTGTGTTCATCGCTTCTTACATGTGAGACTCCGCTGCGAATCTCCCCACACAGTATCATGAGTGACACGTTCGAGTCAGTCTTTTTTTTATCTTACCAAGGAGTGGTAGTCTACTTATCTTAGCACTTTGGATGAAGACCCAGATGAATCGATAGAGTTTCGAATGCTGTTTACGAAAATGGAAATCAAAACTGCAAAATGGTTCTCCTTAAAAAGTTATGGGGGCCCAAATTTTGCTCGACAGTAGTATCAAATGGATATGCGAACCCGTCGCTTCGATAACAAGTTCCTACGTGGCCTTGTGGTAGTGATCTCGCTTCATGGGTGTGAAGTGAGGGTTTGCTCCCCGCCATTGCCTGCACCTTTGCAAAGTGTTTTTTAATTTCATCAAAGGCTCCCTAAACGTTTTCTGACATTTCTTCAGTGAACGCCTCATTTCTGCTTTTATTTTCTCCCGTCGCCCCTGTTCAAGGAAAGTGGTTATGTACGTTAATAGTATACCTCTTTCAAATTTTAAAATCCAAGGAACACTCAACAGAAAGTTACCAATGTGCAAGATGCCTGCAATAAACTCAACATTGATGGAAAAACTTTTAAAAAATACGTGAAGCACACATGCTTTTCACAAAATGGGCGCCTTAAGCTTGTGATTTTCTACATCCGGCGACAAAATGGTTAACCATCTCAATGTAAACAGTCAGTCGTCTCAATCGTAACTTTTTGTTGAATGTTCCTTGAATTTTTGAAATAAAAAAGAGTCATACCATTAACGTGCAGAACCACTTTCCTTGAATAGGAGAAAAATACGAGAGAAAATAAAAGCAGGAACGATGCGTTCACCAAAGAAATGTCAAAAAACGTTTAGGGAGCCCTCGAAGAAATTAAGAAACACTTTGCAAAGATGCGGGCAATGGCGGGGAGCAAACCCTCACCTTACGCCCATGAAGCGAGACCACTACCACAAGGCCACGTAGGAACTTGTTATTGAAGGACGGGTTCGCATATCCAATTGATACTACTGTCGGGCAAAATCCGAGCCCCCATAACTTTTTAAGGAGAACCATTTTGC